AAAGAGAAAGGATGAATATGTTGTGCTAAGTGGATTTTTATTAAGGGATGTGTTTGGGTAACGGTGGGTGGGAAATGATAAGACTAGCTTAAATGAGAAAGATGTTTTTAAGGATATGGGTGGAATTAAGCTTGTTTGTTAAAATCAATGAGTTAAGCTTGAATGCTACAGAAGAAATCTCGAGCCTTAAATGACCCGACTTGGAGATAAGACTTGGTGAAATTATGTAATAGATCGTATTTCTCAAGACTTATCGAGCCGAACAAACGCGCTGTTCATGAATTTTGACCTGGACTCATTTATTAAAATTAACGGGTCGAACTCAAACTTTAGAGACCCGAGCTCTCAAGTTGCTTGCTTCATTTAACAGCTCTACAAAGAAAAAATAATAGTTACTATGTTTTAATTAAGAAGTAAATATGAAATATTTCGTGTTAATTACAAATATTCAAAAGAAGTACCAGTTTATCACTTCTCGTGCTTTCTCCATTTCTACTAATCGTTGGAAAAATTAAGAAATAGTAGAAAATTGAAATTCTCATCATAAACAATTTTGAACTTATAATGATAGAACTAACTTTTTCACATTATGTAGTACTTCTCTATTAAATTTATCGGGATATAACATTTCAACAATATTATTAACATAGTATTAATAACTCAAAGAAAAATTAATTGTTGTTAAAAAATATAAAATACTAAACAGAAACTCAAAAAAAAATTCAATAAGTAAACAATGTATTCTACAAAAAGGTTGATTGGGGTGATCCACATGGATAAAAAAAATTCCTTTGCAAGAATTTTGGCTTGTTAAAACAATAATACTGTTATAATGCATGATTTAGGTTTAATTGCAAAATATAGCCAGTATCTTGTACGCGGTAGCAATATTAGCCACCATTTTTACGAATTGACAATATTAGCCAACAACTTTCAAAATTTTGGGGTTATTACCCATGTCCGACCAAATTCGATGGCTATTGTTGCCACTGCGTAAAAGATATTGACTATATGTTGCAATTTATCTGTCGAATTTGGTTGGATTTGGGTATAATCTCGAAATTTTGAAAGTTGTTGGCTAATATTGACAATTCGTAAAGATGGTGGCTAGTATTGCCACTGCGTACAAAATATTTGCTATATTTTGCAATGTAGCACGTGTGAGGAAAAGTAAAGACTTTGCTGGGGGCTCTACATTTGTTGGGATCATAATGTACATATTTTTCAGGTGATCCAGCAACCCTTCTGCATTGAGATTGAATTTTGGGATGAGCAACAAGAGATAGTGTGTTGGTGCATATTTCTCTATCTCAGCACAGATAGCAAATCCAGGAAAGAACAATGGGATTACCTAGCTGCTGCCAAGGATAAATGGGGTCAGTTTTGGTTTATGTCAGGAGATTTCAATGACATTGCTTTGCCAGAAGAGAAGAGAGGGGGTAAAGCTAGAACTGTTCAGTCTTGTAGTCTCTTCAATAACTTCATACACTCTATGGGAATGTTGGAAGTAGGCTGGCTTGGTTACCCATTCACCTGGTGAAATAATAGGCTCAATGAAGGTTTCATAGAGGAGAAATTAGACAGATGTTTAGGGTCCTTTGACTGGCATTCCAAGTACCCCGCAGCCACAGTTCATAAATATTCAGGAGTGCCTCAGACCACAGCTTGCTACTTCTCTGCAGTAATCAAGAACCCAATCATCCCAAAAGAAGATTTAACTTTGACAAAAGATGGCTTGAAAGACAAGGGATCACTGAAGTTATTTATGATGCTTGGAAGAGAGAACAGCATGGTACACCAATGTATTGCCTGAAGTCCAAAATTAAGCATACTAGAGTGGAATTACTTAAATGGAACTCAGTTTTTACCTCTCAGAATGCAAAGAAGGTTGAGGTCTTAAATAGGAAGCTGAGTCAAATGAGAGAAGAAAGAGGTTTGAGAGACTGGAGAAAATGGGACCAGATGACTGTTGAATTGAATGAGGCTTACAAGTTAGAGAAGCAGTACTGGGAGCAAAAGTCTAGAGTAACATGGCTGAAATTTGGAGATAAAACTCCAAGCACTTTCATGCACAAACCATGCAGAGAAGAAGGAAAAAAAAAAATCCTTAAGCTGATCAGAGAGGATAGCAGTAGTAGCACAATATGTGATAGCAAGGATGATATTGCCCTTTGCATTGAAGAGTTCTTCTCTCTCATTTTCACCTCTGAAGGCAGTCATTCAGGGGACAGGTTGCTACAAGGTACTGAGGAGGCCATCTCTGCTGATCTTAATCAAGACTTGGTGGCACATGTGAGCATAGATGAAATCAAAGAAGTCATTTTCAGCATCAATCCATCTAAAGACCCTAGACCAGATGGTATGACTTCCTTATTCTTTCAATCATTCTGGTCCACTGTTTGTAATGATCTTTGTGCTTCAGTAATAAGCTTTTTTAGTTCTGGTCAAATTCTGAAGTGTCTTAATCATTCCCTGATAACATTGATCCCTAAATGTGCTAATCTCTCTACAGTGGCTCACTATAGGCCTATTAGCTTCTGCAATGTTGTTTACAAAGTGGTTTCTAAAATCCTGGCAAACAAATTAAAGCCTTGTCTTCTTTAATATATCAGTCTGAATCAGTCTGCTTTTGTTAAAGATAGGCAAATCCTTGATAATGTGATCATTGTTAATGAAGTCATTCATTTCCTGAAATGTCACAGAACTAGTATGAAATGCTATATGGCCATTAAGTTGGACATGAGTAAAGCCTTTGAATAAGTGGAATGGGATAGTGTTAGAGTTATTATGCTGAGGTTGGGATTTAATTCTGTATTTGTGAAATGGATTATGCAATGCATTAACTCTACCTCTTTTTCCTGTAATTTGAATCGTGAGGCCATTGGTTATGTGAAGCCTACAAGAGGAATAAGACACGGTGACCAAGTATCACCCTATCTATTCATCTTGATTTCAGATATCTTCTCTCATTTAATTAAGACTAAGGCGAACAGAGGTAACTTGCAGGGTATCAAAATGAACAGGCACTGTCCCCCCTTAACCCACATTTTCTTTGCAGATGACACCCTCATTTTTTCCAAAGCTGAAGCCCAACAAGCCAACACCCTGTTACATATTCTTACCATTACAATACCTTGACTGGGCAAAGAGTCAATCTTGAGAAGTCCTCCATTTTTTTTCAGCAAAAATACACCCCAGCCCCTCCAAGAATAGATTTACAGCATCCTTTTGGGCATTAAACCTCAAACATCTTCTAAGTACCTTGGTTTGCCACTTGGCATTGGAATTTTCAAAACTGATACATTTTCCTTTGTTAATGAGTTGGTTAAGAAAAGAATCTTGAACTGGAAAATAGGCATCTATATCTTGCAGGTAAAGAAGTTCTTCTCAAAGCTGTCATTGGAGCTCTACCCACATATACCATGTCATGCTTCCTTCTGCCCCAAACAGTAACAAAGAAAATATCCTCTGATATGGAAAATTTCTGGTGGAGCAGCAATATGGGAGAAACTAAAGGGATACATTGGCAAAGCTGGAAGAAAATTTCTCTACCAACAGAGCTGTATGTCTTAGGATTCCAGGACCTTCATATCTTTAACAAGGCCCTCATTCTGAAACATTTATGGAGACTCCAGTCACAACCTCACATTTTTGTCTCTCAAATCTTGAAAGGGAGATATTTTCCTGATTGTGAATTGGCTGCAGCAAAGAAAAGACATAATCGTTCATGGCTTTGGTCCAGCTGGTGGAAAGTCAAAGATCTATTCACAGGAGGTATAATCTGGAAGATTGGGGATGGGGGTTCAATCAGGATGGGGGACCAACCATGGATTCAAGGACTCCAACAGAAGACCCCCACAGGACTACTACCAAGAATCCACACTTTCACCTTCTTCATGACACAAGGAGGAACTAGAATAAAAGAATGATGGAGGGTAATTTCTTGCCAGAGGAAGCCAAAGCAACTCTACAAATCAAGAGGCTGGATCCCCATCAACCAGATTCTTTGCAATAGGATTGGAACTCCATAGGGAAATTCAAAGTCTCAGAAGCATACAAAAAACTTATAGAAGAGCTGGAGGAAGATGGGTGTACCGGGTTCCAGTACAGACCACAAGGAGCTGAGGCATGCTAAAAAAAGAACTTGGTGTTTAAAGATTAAAAGGAAAATCAGGCATTTTGTTTGGAAAGGTCTTACCAACATTCTACTAGTCGTGGTCAACCTGAATTCAAGAGGTTCTAAGCTCGATCCCATATGCAGGTTCTGCGGGGAAGTGGAGGAAACTCAAGAGCATCTATTTTTCACTTGTCACATGGCACAACTAATATAGAAATTGGCACCAATCTCCTGGGATGGACTACAAACAGATACATGAAGCTTCAAACATTGATGGACTCATCTTTGCACAATTAAGAGGACACAAATCTCAGAGGATAGGGTTCAACTCACATGCTACTTACTTTAGTGGGTGTGGAAAACTCGTAACTTATGGGTGTTCCAACAGGTTATGAGATCAGAGGCAGATACAGTGAGGTTAGCAGTTGCTGAATGGGAAGAATTTGTGCCATTCTCTACTTAGTTGAGTTAGTGTTCTGTTGTGTTTTAGTTCCTAGGTTGGGTTTTGTGGTTTTTATTTGCTTTTGGGTAGGTTTTGATAATTAGCTAGGTCCTGTGGAAAGTTCAGTGCCTAAAAATTTTTGAATGCCTTTTTGGTTCCTTGTTTAAGAAGTTTAGTTAGGGACAGATAGAGTTGGGCTCATAGACTCTTATTAGCTTTTGTCTATGCTATGAGACCGATTTTTTCTCTTTGGATTGT